CGTTTCTTCCAAACCTAAAACATGTTCGGAGTTGGAGAAAATCAACCCTTCTAGTACCTACCCTACAAATTTTTAATATTTTGCTGATTTGCAAAATTTATAATATACCGCGAAAGTAATATCCGTTTTGGTCCAAACTTTATACAATCTAATATTTTTGCTAAAACTATAAGGGCTTATATTTTGTTGTACTTAGTTGTAAATACCTTAACGGAATATTCGATTTGGTAAAAACTCCTTTCTATTTGTCGATCTACTTCTTTGAATCTGAAAACGGAATTTATAGACCCACTCGTATAATATTTCATACATCAGCTACTTGGTTCCATTTAATTAAATTTCCGTATTCCAAAGAAAGAAAGAAAAGGGTTGGCAAAATGTTGTTGTTGTGGAAATCAAAATTCATTCATTCATCAGAATTGCAACGCAATTAGAAATAGCACATATATCTGGCTCCGGTATGAACTTAGGTTGTTGACTTCCCTCAAAATTAGCTAAATGGTGTAGCTAGGAACATTATTTTTTCGAAAATTACCAATTTTCGACCAAAAACCAAGCTGGAAATAGAGAAGATATTGAACAATTGGATTTATCCTATCACATACGATAGTTATGTAGGTCCAGAAAAAGTGTAAAAATTTCGATTGGATTTATGGTTTTTGAGTTATCATGCCCGCCAATCGTAAGAACATTGTTTCGGGAAAAACAGATTAAAGTGTTGAGAAACGCTCTCACTGCCAACTGTCGTTTACACACTTGAAATTTTAACGAGATATTCTTGCGTATTTATAGGTTTAAATTAAAGGAAAATAAAATAATGATTTTTTGAAACGAAAACCAGTAAGGAAAGTAGTAAAGTCGGACTGGGCCGACTATATAATACCCATCACAACTTTGCGTATATTCTACATATGTAGCCTAAAAGAAGTCATCTTTCAGAAGAACTTTGGCATGAAAGTAAAATATATAGGTATTGGTATACTAAGAGGTAAGTATAGGACTAATATTTCGTAATGCAACAAACTATTAGTGCTAAAAAATTTATAACACCCTCTAAAACTGTGTGTACCCTACAAAGATTCGTTGTATTCATAATTTATTCATAAAAAACAACATGTACATTTTATAACACATTTTTATTGCAAAAGACGTATTTTCACGCTATTTAACGCTATCTGCAGATTTTATGGGATTTTTATCTTTATAAAAAGTAGCAGATTTTTTCAGCTTAGAAAAGTCATAGTATTCTTCTAGGGAATTACCTGTATCAACACACACGGAACACATTTCATAATCGTATAAATTTAGATTTTTATTCTAACGATTATCTTAAATCTAATATCCACAACACAAAAGAAGACTTAATTAACGATTATTATAAATTAATGTTAGTGTTAAAGAACCAGCCAGCATCATTAGCATTATTGAACGAGAACGAAAGTGAAACAAAAACCACCTATATTCTTGGCCGAAAGAAGAAGAGACAGACATACAAAAACAAAATAACCAAGAAATCTTTTCGTAGCTAACCTTGCCGTTAAGTTAGGTTGGCGCCACACTACAAAGACTACCTGTTGCCGATGCTGCTGTTTACGACAAATACCGACAAACATAATAACATTTCAATTTCCGAATTCCAAATTCTTGTTTGATCACATAAATTTCGAAAGTTCAATAAACTTATATTGACCCACATACCAGAGAGAGACACTTAAAAAGCAAGGTACAACAACAATACAAAATCGTAATTTCCAAAATGGGTTAAACCAAATGGGTGGCTTTACAATAGTCTAAAAATAACTCATTTTGAAGAAGATTTTTATGCAAAAGACTTATTTTTACGCTATTTAGGTGTTCCACAAATTTTATGTGATTTTGTTGTTGTTGTTTTTTTTTTATTATTTAAAAAACAAAGAAATGCGTTCGATTTATTTATGCATTTTTAACACTTAGCCTCCCATGTGGATAGAAGTGTCTTGTATTCATCGATGCGTTTGTAACTTGAAGGGACATGACCCTTTGAGATTTTCACTTGAAATTTTAAAGGGGCATTCTTCAATTAGTGTAGGTTCGAATTAAATGACAAAACCAAAATTTATTTTGAAATGGCTGGTCCCCTTAACGATGTGTAGATTTACCGTAATGTTTAAGTGGCAATAATATAGTTCCACACATATAAGGACGAAATTGCTGAAAATCCATATAGCTCCTACATTTTTTCGATTTTATGTAATAGATTTCATTATCCAACAGATTTCGAAATTATCCAACAGTTCTTAATTTTCTTCATTTTTATAATTTTTTTTTTTTTAAATTCTGCCGATTTCATGATAAAACCAGTGAGCGGAGCAGTATAGTCGGACGGGGCTTACCATATGATGCCCTACACAACTACCACGAAAAGCACACTTTCGGCGGTTCTATATTCTGAGCCTGGGCAATATGTCGTGATATTTGCACCCTTTTTACCGATTATAGATCAACAACTCCCCTTTTTCTAAGTCTTACATATTTTCCAAAATGTTTTTTTCTTGAAGTGAATTTTAAAATCTTCGGTTCATTGCACCCCCTGAATGAAATCTCAACTTCACCGAAAACTATAAGCGTCGTCTTTGACCATAATCGGAACTTCATGTACAATTTCAAAGCGATCAGTGCGACATTTCTGTCCTCTAATGGAGTAATAGTAATAATAAGCACATAGTCACCTTTACTTAATTACGTATAACTCCCGCATCGGAGTACATACATCGATATAATTGGTATCAATTTGAAGATCAACAACTCATCTTGGAAGGTCAACAACTATCAACATCTCGAGTATATATCCTTCAGGAGCAAGTATATACCCCAGAATAAAAATTTTGTAATTTTTCACACAAAAGTCAGGGTCCATTTGACCCGCTAAATATTGACCGATCTTTATCATAACAGGCATGCTTATTCTTAGGCCCGATCCCGATCTTTACCAAAAGCAATAGGGGTCTTCATTGGCCATAACCCATGCTACATGCCAAATTTCGTGAAGATTGGTCCATAACTGTGGCTTGTATCGTGTTTACAAATTATAATGGACAGACGAACGGACACACATGTCTAGATCGATTCCGCTAGTCGAGATATGAGATATGATCGGTATAATTAAAGGTGGGTCTAGGAACAATATTTCGCGGCGTTACAAACTTTTGGGGCTGCACAACATTATGTACCCATCACCGTATTGTACATATTTAAAATTTTGTAAGTGGATCGGGACTGTTTTGTATACTTCGATTAAGATGCAAATTTCAGACTCTTAAGTTGGAAAACTTGGCTATGAACTTCAACGTACCGAAAATAAACCAGTAAGGAAAGTAGTAAAGTCGGACTGGGCCGACTATATGATACCCTTCACCATTTTGGGTATATTCTACATATGTATCCGAAAAGACGTCGCATTTTTGAAGCAATTTTGAAATGAAATTGAACGAACTTAAATATGTGATTTTTAGGTCTTTCTTGAACCTATGCAAAATTTCATTTCATTTGGACAAGTTTAGAGTCGTTTGTGCACAATGGGACAGATTTGTGTAAATCGATTTAAAGCAAACTTGACATACGCTATTCGGTATGCTACACTGTTTAAATTTTAATCTCAATCAGATACCTATTGATTAATTGGTGTACAATAAGCATAAATAAGTCGAAATTATATATGGAAGCTACAATATATCTATATCTGAACCGATTTGAAGCAAACTTGCCAGAGATTAATTTATATTAATTTTAGTACGTTGTGTCAATCGGCCTAGCTGTGGATCTTCAGTGCACAATTTACTTAAAATCAGACGAAAATATATATAGGAGGTGTACACATCATTCTAGACTTAATTCAATACGCTATGCCAAAATTCGTGCAAATCGAATGATTTTAAGAGACTTGGGTGTACCATTTACCTAATATCGGACGAAACTATATATGGGAGCTATATCTAAATCTGAACCGATTTTCACGAAACATAGCATACATCATTATAGACCTAATTCAATAGGCTATACCTCATTTCGTGCAAATCGAAAGATATATAGGGACTTTGGTCACCATTTACCACAAATCGGACGAAGATATATATGGGAGCTATATCTAAATCTGAACCGATTTTCACGAAACATAGCGCACATCATTCTAGACTTAATTCAGTACGTTGTGCAAAAATTCGTGCAAATCGAAAGATTTACAGGGATCTGGCGCACCAGTTATCTAAAATCGGAAATATAGGAGGGGGATATATCGAGACATGGACCTATATCTAAATTGTTCTGCAAAAACATGTTAGCCCTCCAAAAACCCCTTAAACATTTAATTTTCAAAAGCTCTCTCAAAATACCTCCGTACTATTTGTTTCTCTTTAAGAATTTCGATCCTGTGGGCCTATGAAAATGTTTCTATATGAAATCTGGGGTTTGTATTAAAGAAACAAAATATTGTACTGAGTTTGCCGAGGATATATTAAGCATTTAATTTTTCTCCAACCATGTACGAAACTCAATCTTCCCAAAAGGTTTTTCATATAGCAAGAAATTTGATATGACCATTACGAACTTAAATTCCAAAGCTTCTGGTGTAGGTAGGCACATGGTCGGCTACACTTTTCTATAGTCGTTTCATACTTCGTTTTACATAAATCAGTTATGACAAAATTTACAACGTTTACCAATGGGGAGATGATAAAATATGCATGCCGCCTTACGAAATGTGTCCAAACATGTTAGGGCTTTAAATTATGTGGTGGCAAATACATAATTCCACCAGCTGTGTTGATAATTATATATTTTACGACTTTTAGCTTGTCATACAGGTCATTCTTCATCCGAGCAAATGCAAGTTTGTATGCCATCATTAAATCACAACGTTTTATTTCAGTATAAATAAAAGAGGCTGTTACATTGATGAACGGTATCAGAATAGCTTTTCGCTTCAAGTAGTAAATTTAAAAAAAAACACACACACAAATCCCAAAATGCGTTCATTCATTGTAAGTTTTAAAGTCAGAAGATTTGAGAATCAAGGATTATTTTCATAACAATACTCTTTGTTTCCTTTTGAAGGTGTTATGTTTGGTGGCTGTGGCATGTGCGGATAAATTGGGTTACAACTATCAACCCGTTCCCCATACGGATATAGACCTCACATCAGGTGTAGGTGTAGGTATTGTTGCCCCTGCTGTAACCTATGATCCTACACCAATTGTTGAATACGAAAAGGAATTCTTTTCTTTCGCTGCTCCCGAAAGTGAATTTGTCGATCATGACGCAGCTCAACGTGTTGCTGAGGGAGTTAAGAAGGGTCTTCGTGTAATCTTCATTAAGGGTCCCGAAAATCAAGGCTTGGAAAATGCCGCTCTTGCATTGGCCAAGCAAGCTGCCCAACAAGAAACTGCCATCTATGTTTTGAACAAACAAACCGACATTGGTGAATTGGCCACTAAACTGAACAGCATCAATACCGGCAACAACCTGAAACCCGAAGTTCACTTTGTCAAATATCGTACTCAAGAAGATGCTGTCAATGCTCAACGTGTCATTCAAAGCCAATACGATTCGCTGGCTGGCAATTCGCATAGCATTAATGGTGGTGTTGCTCCTGTTCTTAACTTTGCTTCGGCTCATTCAACAGTTGGTACTGCTGCACCACAGGTGCCCAAAAATGCTTACCTTCCAACATCGGTTTTCCGTCGCTAAAACTAAGAGAGAGTTGAATACCAAAGACATGTTATTATTGTTGAACGTTGTTTAGTTTTAGTTAATAAAGAAATTCTTTAAATAAATCAATATTCTTTTAATATTAGAGCAAATAAGAAAATGTGGTGGTAAATGTTGTCATATTACGATCAGTAGTAACTCATACATATAAGTCGAAATCATAAACGTAAACCGAAATAATAGCCGGTGATTTTGGCTAAAACAATCTTGGAAAAAATCTAGAATTTTAGTTTGGTCATAGTTTTCTGTTAATACAGGGACGAAGTAAAATTGGAAGGCTGTAATCCTTCCATCGATGAATATTCGAATATATGAACGGACTGACCAAATAAAAATTTAGTATCGGTTGCAGAACGAAATGTTTATGGATCCAATTTCATTCCTTTAAAAATGCGACGTCTGTTAGGATTCATCTGTTGAATATACCCAAAGTGGTGAAGGGTATCATATAGTCGGCCCCGTCCGACTTTACTACTTTCCTTACTGGTTTATATTAAAATATATATCTAATTTGTTACGCATTTTTAGTTTGTTTCTAAGACTCTGTTGTAATCATTTCACCTGCGGAGGATAGCGAGATAAACAATTAGAACGTAAGGTTCGATAATGAACTATAGCCGCATTTAGACCTAGCCCCTGTGTGGAGGTTCCAGAAGGAGTGGACCGATATTCCCCATCTTCGAATTTGAACTAAATTTAAAAGAAATAAAAAGATGGGCAAAGTTTGGATGAAATCTAAATTTTCTGATACGAAACATGTGGTCTAGAACCAATATTTCGATGAGGCACATTTTCACCGTGTTAAAGTGTATATGTACACCCTCATTAGCCATAAGGCTGAGTGTATAATTATCCATTAAAACTTTCTGAAATTAATATTAATATTTACATTTTGGTTTATATAATCCGTTTTTAGAAATGTCGGTATAGGTCCACTTTTTGGTATGTTCCCTATATTTTAATTTCTAGTACCTGTCATTATATATATGGTGGAGGGTATCCAAAGTTCGGCCCGGCCGAACTTAATGCTTTTTCACTTGTTTTCATTTGTAATCAGGAGGGTGACATAAGCTTAGGCCTGATATATATAGTTGTCCTTGTATTTGATAAAAATTAAGGCAAAATTCTAAATTCAAATTGAAAATTTATTTTAAAACATTTTTCACAAAGTAACAATTTATTAAACAATAACATCGTACATATAACAGAAAATATTTAACACAAGTAAACCCTTTTTAAAGACGTAACACCATAGAGGGCAAGTAAGCATTCTTTGGGGAATTAACATGAGCCACAACTTCCATACTTTGAGATGCAAAATTAAGAACCGTTGCTAAACCACCATTAATATTACGCGATTGTCCACCCAACGAATCATATTGACTTTAAATGGTGTGTTGAGCATGAACGGCATCTTCAGCGATACGATATTTAACAAAATGAACTTCAGGTTTCGGTGCAGCTCCATTTTGAATCGCATTAAATTTGTTAGCCAATTTTTTTTAATTTCAATTGTATGTTTTATTTCCCCCACTTTTTGACCGTTGTCTTTACCTGATTTCTACATGCATCTTCTATGATCAACAGGTAGATTTAATTAATAAATAACCTAATTTAAAATACAAGAGTGGGTGCTAAAATGTTTGTGTACATTAGATAAATACTTCCGAATATCTCAATTAAGATACATTTAAAACGAGTTTGTGATGAACCTATAGCATATAACAGCATACGTAACGTTCGATAAGTTAATGAAAAACATGTTACATACCACATAACTTGCTTGCTCTGGTGATTAATGACTATGATAGGTTCTATTGACGTCAGCAACGTCTAGGAGAAGATACCGGACACAACAAATAAACGGTCATTTAAATAAATTAAAATAACCAGATATCGTTCAGAGTGCATGAAACAAGAATATAAAAAATTAAAAAAAATATATACAATATATATAATTTTGTATTTGTAATTAGTTTTTATTGTAGAAGATAATATATTACTTAAATTTAGTTTTCTATTGTAGGTTATAATCTTGTCAGCAATGACCTATCCCAATTAATGTGGGTATTTGGTACCAAATTTTGCCTGAAATTCGATATACATTTATCATTAAATGATTTAAACAAATGGACCTTTACCTCGTTTATTAATACATGGTCTGTCAGACGGACATGCATAAATCGACAAAGAATCTATTGCTGAAGGATGCCTTTAATTGACTTTCAAATCCTAAACATTGACTTGGTGATTTAGGCGATTCATGAAGCATAGATATAAGCAAAAACAAAAACTAGAACCAGTAAGGAAAGTAGTAAAGTCGGACGGGGCCGACTATATGATACCCTTCACCACTATGGGTATATTAAACAGGACTATTCATGTTAATGGATGAAATAAAATATGTGATTTTTATCTAAAGTATGTATACATAAAGTATGTAAATCGACTTCAAACAAATATAAATAGAAACACAACTACGTAATTCTATGCTCAACTTTGTACGTTGTGCAAACTTTGATGTCAATCTGACTCACATGAGGAGTTTGATGCACAATTTACTTAAAATCGGGCGAAAATATACAGTGGTGGTCACAGAATTAAAACATTCACTGTGGTAAACTTTTTTTGATCAGTCCTCGATTCGATTGAAGTATTTTTGAAAATTTTTTAATTCAGAACACTTCGATATACTGCAATTAAGAGATTTAGTGTGAAAATAGAAAATTATTGCATGCAATTTTTCCATAAATAACGGTTTTTATGAAAATACATCGACTTTGAAGTGACCATATAATTAAAACATTGTGTGACTTTTTACTTTACTGCATTTTTTGAAAATATTTTTAAAAAAGCTCTTTAATTTAGTTAAATTATGTAAACTAAGCACTGTTAGAATCATTTACAGATAACTATTTCTGAAAAAAATCTGTAAATCTATCAAAATTGCCAAAAATTTGTACAGTACACATAACATTCAGAAAACACCCTTATTATAGAAAATAAAAGTCCGAATGCACCAGAAATTGCTAGAATTAGTAAAAAACAATTAATAATTTTCAAAATAAATAAATATTTGAAATAAAAACTCAAAAAATGGGAATAAACCTAAAGGAACGATTCAAATTGGATAGCCTTTACTGAAGAAGGCTAGAATATTTTTGCAGTATGTGAGAAAATATCGATCGATATTGGCATTTATTACTCGTCAAATCGATTGTTCGTTCTGTTGTGACTGATATATTTTTTGATAAAATATATTCTCTACTACTCGAACAATCGTTTTGATATAATAAATGCCAATATCGATCGATATTTTCCAACATGCTGCAAAAATATGCTGGCCTTCTTCAATAAAGGCTATCGAAGTTGAATCGTTCCTTTAGGTTAATTCCCATTTCCTGCGTTTTTATTTCAAATATTTATTTATTTTGAGAATAATTTATTGTGTTCTACTAATTCTAGCAATTTCTGGTGCATTCGGACTTTTATTTTCTATAATAATGGTGTTTTCTGAATGTTAGGTGTACTGTACACATTCTTGGCAATTTTGATAGATTGTACAGATTTTTTTCAGAACTTTTTATCTGCAAATGATTCTAACAGTGCTTAGTTTACATAATTTAACTCAATTAACGAGCTTTTTTAAAAATATTTCAAACGAATCGAGGGCTGATCAAAAATGTTTTCCACAGTAAATGTTTTAATTCTGTGACTACCACTGCATATGGAAGCTCTATCCAAATATTAAGCGATTTTAAACAAACTTTTCACAGGTTAGGTTATACTAATTTCAGAACGTTTTGTTCCTATTGGCTCCTTGGTGCGTTAATTACTTAAAATCAATCTATAATAAAAGGGAGCTATATCTAAATCTGGACCGATTTTCACGAAACAAGGCTGACATCACTCTAGGCTCAATTCAGTACGTTATGCCAAATTTCGTGCAAATCGAAAGATATATAGCGACTTTGGTGCACCATTTACATGAAATCGGACGAAACTATATATGGGAGCTATATCTAAATCTGGACCGATTTTCTCGAAACTTGGCACACATCACTCTAGGCTCAATTCAGTACGTTGTGCCAAATTTCGTGCAAATCGAAAGATATATAGAGACTTTGGGGCACTTTGTGGCATGAAATCGGACGAAAATATATATGGGAGCTATATGTAAATCTGAACCGATTTTCTCGAAACTTGGCACACATCACTCTAGGCTCAATTCAGTACGTTGTGCCAAATTTCGTGTAAATCGAAAGATATATAGGGACTTTGGGGCACCATTTACATAAAATCGGACGAAAATATATATGGGAGCTATATCTAAATCTGAACCGATTTTCTCGAAACTTGGCACACGTCACTCTAGATTCAATTCAGTACGTTGTGCCAAATTTCGTGCAAATTGAAATATATATAGGGACTTTGGTGCACCATTTACATGAAATCGGACGAAACTATATATGGGAGCTATATCTAAATCTGGACCGATTTTCACGAAACTTGGCAGACATCATTCTAGACCTAAATGATTAGGCTGTACCAAATTTCGTGCAAATCGAAAGATATATAGGGACCGTTTACATTAAATCGGTTAAATATATATGGGAGCTATATCTAAATCTGAACCGATTTTTCCCAATTTCAATAGGGTTCGTCCTTGGGCCGAATAAGTGACTTATCCCAAATTTCATCCAATTCGGATCATAAATGCGACCTGTAATTTGTTTACAATTTAACATGGACACACAGACAGACGGACGGATGGACATGCATAAATCGATTTATGCATATTCTCAAAAGGAAACATGTGTCTATCTCGTTTCCTTTTGCCTGTTACAAACATATGCACAAAGACATAATACCCTGTACCACAGTGTGGTGAAGGGTATAAAAACTTCGTTAATTTTTGGGTGGCCTGAACTTTCCATACTCTCCATCTCGAGTTAGACGTGTAAAATACCTTTAATTGTCGGGACCTTTATAAATGATTTTTGGTTGCAAGAGAATGGAGCCAGTTCGATTAAGAAGCATTCCTTAAAATGCCAAATAATAATTATGCCAAAATTTCTATAATAACTAGTAAGAAAAGTACAAACAGCGAACGGGACCGACAATGTGATACCCTTCATCACTATGGATACATACAAGAGATGTTTATTTTAACAGGAGTTGCATGTTTGAAGGACGTCAATTGGACAAAGTGAGAGTGATTTACATAAAATTGGACGAAAACATATATGGGAGCTTTATCTATAAAAATATTACTAAATAGATCTGAATCGATTTCAACGAAACTTCACATACGTCAAATTTTGTCCCAAGAGAAAAAATATTAAAATAGTTGTTCTCTTGGGACCTAAAATCGGTCCGAAATATATATGTAAGCTATATATTAGTCTGAACCGATTTAAAAAAAAAATCATATTCGTCAATCTGTACTTATTTCTTTAAGTGGAGCAAAACTTTTTCACAATCTAACAAATCTTCAGAGTTTGGGGTACCATTTTCCTATATGGGAGCTGTAACAAAATTTGAATGGATTTTAATAAAACTTCACATACGTCCATATAGACGATTTTCCAATTTGATTTGCTTAACAATGGTGTGCATTAAATTTACCAAAATATTGGGATGCGAAAAAATAATAATTTTGTGATTTATGTATTTGTCCCATTAACATAAATTCCTAATACACACCCGCATGTGTAAAACAAAAAAACTAAATGAAACACCAAAGACAAATCAATCGATTAATTTATCTCTTGATGACATATCCATCAACGTTCGATAGATTATTAACTAAACATAATACAACAATAGATAATCAAATTGACCGCAACAAATTTCCGATTATTGCAAACTATTAATGATAAATGGATTTTTTCGATTAAATTGTTTCGAATCAAACTTGTGGCTCCGACATTCTATGGGTTGCTGCAATTATTTTGTTGAATGCATTCAAGGCTTCTGTCTAATTGCTGGCTCCATTTCAATGTTGATTGCTTTATAGACCAATTAATGGTTATTTTATATACTTGAGACATTAAAAAAATGGGGAAATGTGACAAGAAAAATTATGTCCCTATTATATGATAGATATGAAGAATCATCGATAGAAATTTTATATAAAAATGGTCATTTGCAATACGTAATACAGTCCAATTTAAACTTTAAGAATTAGTAGTATAACAAAAATCTAAAATGCGCGGTATCATTGTAAGTTAATTTTTAATAAATTAAAATATCATAACTTAAAATAATGTGTTCACATTGCAGATCTTATCCATAATTGCAACCGTTTGTGCCGGTCAAATGGGTTATGATTATAAACCCGTTCAGACATCAATGTCTTCACTAAACCCCATTCCCGCCCATAGAGATGAAATTCCAAGTGGTTCTGGTTCCCATACAGAATTTTATACGTTCTCCGCTCCAGAGGATGAATTCAATGATGCCAGTGAATTACAACGTGCTTTAGGAAATGCCAAACCAAAACTACGTGTTGTCTTCATAAAAACCCCGGAGAACAAAGCTTTGGAAAATGCCGCCTTGGCATTGGCCAAACAAGCTGCCCAACAAAAAACCGCCATCTATGTTCTCAACAAACAAACCGATGTCGGGGAATTGGCTAACAAATTTAATGCGATTCAAAAGGGAGCTGCGCCGAAACCTGAAGTTCATTTTGTTAAATATCGTACTGCTGAAGATGCCGTTCATGCTCAACACACCATTCAAAGTCAATATGATTCGTTGGGTGGACAATCGCGTAATATTAATGGTGGTTTGGCAACGGTTCTTAATTTTGCATCTCAAAGTATGGAAGTTGTTGCTCATGTCAATTCCCCAAAGAATGCCTACTTGCCCTCTATGGTGTTGCGTCTTTAAAAAGGGTTTACTTGTGTTAAATATTTGCTGTTATATGTATTGTTATCGACTTTGTGTAAAATGTTATTCAATTATTATTATTAAATTTTCAATAAATTTTCAGTACTTAGAATGTTGCCTTAATTGTTATCAAATACAAGGGTAAATATATATTTCAGGCCTAAGCTTATGTCACCCTCCTGACTACAACACGTAGATAGGAAACTTCGGTTGTTTTCTGAAAAAAATATATTTATTTGGGTGATTTGTGAAAACATGAACTTATATCGATAATTTCCTGCAGGTGAAATGATTACAACAGAGTCTTAGAAACAAACTAAAAATGCGTAACAAATTAGATATCTATTTTAATATAAACCAGTAAGGAAAGTAGTAAAGTCGGACTGGGCCGACCATATATATGGATATATTCTACATATATATCCTAAAAGACGTCGAATTTTCGAAGGAACATTGACATGAAATTGAACGAACTTAAATATGTGATTTTTATTTATATCTAAACCGACTAACATCAATCCCTACAAATATCATTCTGCAACCTATCCTAAATATTGTAAATCGATTTGAAACAAACTTGACACACGCCACACTGTTTATAGTTTAATCTCAATCAAACACCCATTGATTATTTGGTGTACAATACACATGAATAAGTGGAAATTATACATGGAAGCTATGCTATATCTATATCTGAACCGATTTCAAGGAAACTTGCCAGATATTAATTTATATTAACTTCAGTAGGGGTCTTTAGTGCATCATTTACTTAAAATCGGACGAAAATATATATAGGAGGTTTTTGTAAATCTGATCCGATTTTCACGAAACTTTGCACACATCATTCTAGACGTAATTCAGTACGCCATACCAAAATCGAAAGACTTTCACGAATCTTTGCACACATTATTCTAGACTTAATTCAGTACGGTATACCAAAATTCATGCAAATAAAAAGATTTGCAGGGACTTTGATGGAACATTTACTTAAAATCGGGCGAAACTATATATGGGAACTATATCTAAATCTGAACCGATTTTCCCGAAATTTAGCACACATTATTGTCAACTTAATTTAGTACGCTATGCCAAAATTCGTGCAAATCTAATGATTTTCAGGGACTTTGGTGCACCATTTACCTAAAATCGGACGAAAATATATATGAGAGCTAAATCTACATCTGAACCGATTTTCTCCAATTTCAAAAGGGTTCTTCCTTGGGCCCAACCAGTGGGCTGTGCCAAATTTCATCCAATTCGGATCATAAATGCGACCTGTACTTTGCTCTCAAAAATACATGGACGGACGGAAGGAACCATGGGTCTATCTCGATTCATTTTGCCTGTTACAAACATATGCACAAAGACCTAATACCCTGTACCACAGTGTGGTGAAGGGTATAAAAAGGGGGTTATGTGGGGACTACCCCAAAAAGGGGGCGAATATTAATAATTTTTGGTAGGAAGATTTGTTACCATATTTGTTACCCAAAATACCGAAAATTAGAGTTACCCTTATATGGGGGCTATCCGTAAAAATTGACCTATATTCATAATTTTTCGGTTATTTAGTACCTATTATGAACTCAAAATACTAAATTAAAGCTAATTCGGCGGAAAAATACGATCAAAATCCCAAAAATACTGAAAATTAGAAGGTGCCGTTATATTGAGGCTACCAGAAAAAGTGGACCTATATTTATTATTTTTTGTGGAGACATTTAGTACCCAATAAGGACCCAATGTAGCAAATTTCAGCGAATTCGGTTGAAAAGCGCGCTCAAGAACCCCAAAATACCGAAAATTGGGGGGTACCCTTATATGGGAGCTACGCCTAAACGTGGACAGATGAAGCCCATTTTCGAACTTGACCTGCCGCTGACAAAAGACGACTCTATGCAAAATTTTGGCGATCTATCTCAATTCGTTTAGACGCTATAGTGAATACAACAGACGTACAGACGGACATGCTTAAGTCGTCATAGAATTTTACCCTGTTCAAGAATATATATACTTTATAGGGTCGATGCGTTACAAACGGAAAAACAAAACTAATATACCCTCCATACTATGGTGGAGGGTATAAAGATAAGAGATATTTAATTGGGTGATTGACATGAAATTTTACACAACGTACAAAATTGAGCATGGAATAATGAAGTTGAGTTTTGTAGAAATACAGACATAGCCCAACGGATGTCCGATTGATATTTGCTTGAAATCGATTTACATAATTTTGTCCCATTGTAAGAAACCAATGACATTTTTACGGATTGATCTAAGTCGGTTCACATTAAGATAAAGATCACATATTTTTGTTCATCCAATTTCATGTTAATTGTCCTTCAAAAAATGCGACGTATTTTAGAATGCTTCTGTTTAATATACAAATAGTGATGAAGGGTATAATGTAGTCGGCCCCGTTCGACTTTACTACTCTCCTTACTGATTTTCTGATCATGAATATATATAGTTTATGTGCTATAAATATGCCAATGGTTTGCACTCTAGATAATCTTCCGCCTTTCAGGAAACATGGAACTTCGTATACCAAATGCCCTATATCTAAAGACTAAATCGGAATTTTTCGTATGGTATTACATTGAGTGATTTTTTGAATGATTTTTCTAGAAGTCTATTCAAATTGAAATATAGTTTCTTTTTCATTAGACTGTGTACAGATGACACATTCACATTTAACTACAGTTTCAATACATTTGTTTCCCGTTTCCATGGTACACAAATTAATCTCTTATTTTTTCTTATAAGATAACTTATTCCTGGTTAAATGAAGTTTACCCATTAGTCACCTTAAAGCATTTGGTGGAAGATATTATGATCGATCTTAACATTTTTTATCAATCTGTTTATATATTTTTCTTTTTTATAATAATGAACAATTTTATAAGCAAAAATTTCCAAAGGTCAATGTTTAATTGCTACGAAAAGTCTTTTGTTTATAAAAAGTCAATGATAAAGTCATAATAAAATATATTGCCTTGGCGATGACCCTCTAAGGAATTTTTATTTTAATTAATATGCAAAATATTATTTTTATTATTTTATATTTTTAATGGTAATTAATATAAAATGTAAATATGGCAGAGGCTATGATATCTGAAACTAAAACAAAATATTTGTTTGTTTGGCACAAAATCAATGGCAAAATTCGAAATTAGGTTTATTTGATGTTGACACCCACAACTTTTGATTTATGCAAATATTGACATACAGTGGAGTCTGGTAGTAAATAAAATGGATGTTGTGAATTTAAAGATTTCAAACGAATTTCACAAACATATAAAAACCTATACAATACAATAATATATTTGAATAGAAACGACCCATTTCAGAATTATAAAAAAAAGTTTACCATTTACCAGATAAAATAAATTTAAAGAGCAAAATAAAAGTTAAAGAGGAATTTCCAACCGAATTAGATAGGTTGAATACCTCTTCGGTTTCAAATTAATTCATATTAACTACAGTATTTTTTTAGTACAATGATTAAAAATGATAAAATCTTTGTATTCGTTTTGCTCCACTGTATTTGCAAATCAACAAGACGTGAAGCCAAGAGAAATTCCCGAAATGGCATCTCGTTGCCAAAAATAAACTTACAACTTAGTTCTTCAAATATCATGCCACAAATAAGTCAAATATGGTTACCAACTAAAAACTCATATTCATATAAAAAGAAGTCGTATTCTGATTAAAATTCATAGTTACAATCTTGATATCATAACGAAATATACCAAAGGAAATTCAAAGAATCAAAATGCGTTCATTTATTGTAAGTTAATTTCATTCGGAATTTAAAGATTCGAATATTTTCTAATATTTTCATCTCCACTTTTATAGATCTTGTGCATAGTTGGCTGGGCTAGTGCCGGTCGCTTGGGTTACAACTATGAACCATCAGTTAGTATTAGCGGTGTACCATTCGGAGGTTACAGTTCTCCATCATACAGTTCCCCATCGTATAATACACCCTCATTCCCCGCTCCCCCAGCCGTCGAATTGAATAAAGAATTCTACACATTTTCTGCACCAGAAAATGATTTCAATGATCTACATTTGGCTGAACAAGTAGCGAGTACTTTGAAACAATCAGTTCGTGTCATCTTTATCAAGGGTCCTGAAAATCATAGTTTGGAAAATGCCGCTTTGGCTTTGGCCAAACAAGCTGCCCAACAACAAACAGCCATCTATGTACTCAACAAACAACCTGATCTTAATGAGTTGGCCCATAAACTTAATAGTCTTGGCACCAACCACAACTTTCGACCCGAAGTCCATTTTGTTAAATACCGCACCCCAGAAGATGCTGTCAATGCCCAACATGCCATCCAAAGCCAATACGATTTATTGGGCGGTAGCTCACAGAATTTTAATGGTGGTGTTGCTCCTGTTATTAACTTTGCTTCAGAAGCTCCAGTTGCGACATCTGGAACTGTGAAGTTTCCAGATAATACATATTTGCCATCATCGATTTTTCATAAACGGTAGACTATATAATGACAGTTGTTATTTTAGTGTTTTAAGAATTATATTCAAATAAAAGAGTTATTAAAAATATTAAAAATCGCAAAATTTAGTCGGGAAAACTGCACCACAGAAAATCCTGTAACAAAAGGTACAAACCACATTGGGTATATGCAAAGTGGGGATTTTCAAAGATTGCATGTTTAAAGAATATTTTTGTCCGGGATCAGTAGATCTCGAAGCGTGGACTTTTAAAGAGTGTTTTTTTTTACAATCAGTAGATAGGTAGTAGAAAATTTGTTCAAGGATTTGCAGTTCAAGAAGTGTGGATTTTAATTTTTTCCACTATCAGCAGATCAAGAAGCGTGAAGTTTTAAAGATTTTTTTTAACTGCCAGCAGATCAAGAAGCGTGGATTTTTAAAGAAAAAAATTTTAAGGATCATAAGGTTCGGAGTCTTAAATTTAAAAAAAAATATTTTTCAGGGATCAGCAGGCCAGGAGGCTTGGATTTTAAATATATATAAATATATATTTTCAGGAAAGAACAGGTCAGCAAGCCTGGATTTATAAGAATATCAGCAGGTCACGAGTCTTGGATTTTTGATGAATATTTTTAAGGGATCGCCAGGTCAGGAGGCTTAGATTTTAAATATATATAAATATATTTTTTCAGGGAAGAGCAGGTCAGCAAGCTTGAATTTTTAAATATTTTTTTTCAGCGAACAGCAGAAGGTAACTAAGCGTGGATCTCTAAAAAAAATTTTATGGAACCAGAAGGTCAGTAAGCGTGGACCTTTAAAGAAAAATTTTTTTCTAGGATCAGCAGGAAGCGTAGATTTCTAAAAAATATTTTTTAAGTATCAGAAGGATAGAAAGCGTGAATTTTTGAAGAATATTTTTCAAGGATCAGCAGGACAGGAAGCGTAGATTTCTAAAAAATATTCGTTAAAGGAAATATTTGTTAAGCGTGGACCTTTAAAGAACACATTTTTTCAAGGATCTGCAGGAAGCGTAGATTTCTAAAAAATATTTGTTAAAGGAAATATTTATTAAGCGTAGACCTTTAAAGAACAAATTTTTTCAAGGATCTGCAGGAAGCGTAGATTTCTAAAAAATACTTGTTAAAGGAAATATTTGTTAAGCGTCGACCTTTAAAGAACAAATTGTTTCAAGGATCAACAGGAAGCGTAGATTTCTAAAAAATATTTTTTAAGGATCAGAAGGATAGAAAGCGTGGATCTTTAAAGAATATTTTTCAAGGATCAGCAGGCCAGGAAGCGTAGATTTCTAAAAACATATTTAGATTTCTAACAAATATTTTTTTAAGGACCAGAAGGCCACTAAGCGAGGATTTCTAAAACTTATTTGTTAAAGGACTTTAAATAATATGCCTTCAAGGATAAGCAGATCAGGAAGCGTAGATTTATAAAAAAATTGTTTTAAGGAACCAGAAGGACCTTTAAAAAACAATTTTTAAGGATCAGAAGGATAGAAAGCGTGGATCTTTAAAGAATATTTGTTCAAGGATCAGCAGTTCAGGAAGCGTAGATTTCTAAAAAAAAATTTTTAAAGGATCAGAAGGTCAGTAAGCATGGATCTTTAAAGAATATCATCAAGCGTGGATTTCTAAAAAATATTTTTTCAAGGATCAGCATGTCAGGAAGGGTGGATTTTTAAACTACACTTTTCAAGAATCTGTATTTCAGGAAGCGGGATTTAAAAAAATAACTTTTCGAGGATCAGTACGCCAGGAAGGGTGGATTTTAAAACCATGTTTTCAATGTTCAATAGATCCTGACCTATAGATCATTGAAAAAAAAAACATTTTTTTCAATGACCAGCATTTTTGGAAAACTTTTCACCCCGTTTTCGGAACGTTGAAAGTCTCAGCCAAGTTTTCCAATCTTAGTGTCAGTAGGTAGTTATTTATTTTGAAGGAATTTAGATATTTTTAATACGTTTTGTAATACACGATGAGAACATATCAATATATTGTCAGAATACAAAATATAATTGACCAATTTAAATTTAATTGTGTCCCCTTGGTAATAATTACTTATGCTATTTGTTTAGGAGACGAGTTAAATTTTTTAAAGAACATTTTTGCAAGGACCAGCAGTTCAGGAAGCGTGGATGTTTGAAGATTTTTTTTTTCATGTAGCTCAGGAAATAGGTATGTTGTCAGATTCAAAAGTCCAGGTGAATTTTTTGAAGGTATTAATTTCCGAAAACGGCAAGTAAGAGTCGAAGTCTATATACAAAATTCGCAGCAAAATGACCTAGGGCATGAAGAATGTTGTATATTCGAATTTACCGATTATAAATTCCGATATCAGTTCTGAAATATAAATATAATGTTGAAATTCTTCTATCGTGCGTGGAGATATATGCAAACCCAAAGCATTTGATTACATTAATGTTTTTATTTTATTTTTTAACAATTCTAATTTTTAACACTAATCAACAACAATACATCAGTCTTTCTTTGGTATTTCTAAGCTTCTTAGTGACGGAAAACCGATGATGGCAAATAAGCATTCTGGGGAGTTTGGGCTGTGGCAGTACGAACAGCTGGTTGAGAAGCAAAGTTCAGAACTGGAGCAACACCACCATTAACACTGTGAGATGGACCACCCAATAAATCGTATTGGCTTTGGATGGCACGTTGGGCATTGGCAGCATCTTCAGGGGTACGGTACTTGACGAAGTGAACTTCGGGTTTCTGGTTGTTGTTGGCACCCAATTGGTTAAGTTTGTTGGCCAATTCACCAAGATCGGTTTGTTTGTTGAGCACATAGATGGCAGTTTCTTGTTGGGCAGCTTGTTTGGCCAAAGCCAAAGCGGCATCTTCCAAACCATTGTTTTCGGGTCCCTTGATGAAGACAACACGAAGACCCTTGTTCAAGCTACCAGCAACACGTTCAGCGGCATGAGGATCATTGAATTCACCTTCGGGGGCAGAGAATGTATAGAATTCCTTTTCCAATTCAGCAACAGGAGCATAGGTGGGAGCAACAACGCTAGCACTACCACCACCAACAGCTCCGCGAACGAAAGAAGTTCCACTGTTGGATTGACCAACGGGTTGGTAATTATAACCCAATTTGTCGGCACAGGCTACAGCCACTAAGCATAAAACCTAGGAAATTAAAACGCTTTATTAGTACTCGCTTTTCTACCACTCTCGGTTTGTTTTTAACTTACAATAAAGGCACGCATTTTTTGGATTGTTTTTTTTATGGATGATTGCTGTTTGAAATCGAAACAATTTCTGTACACATTAATCTATGTGACGACCTTTTTTATACAAATCCCATTCCAATCAACTTCTACAAAATTAGTTTGTCTTAACCAAAAAACTCTCTTCATCGATTCTCTCAGATTCTTCGTGTGTTTTGTAAACGTTATCAGGTACTTCTTTAGGTTATCATGATAATCCACCCATACATAGAAATTCTGCAAGAATTTTGCCATTTAATACAGATGAATCGGCGGTGCAGTAGTATTTGTATAACCTAACTTGATTTTCAAAACATAATGTGAAGATCATCTGCTCAATGGTAATCATTGGAATTTCTATTGTTCAGGGCGGCGGCAGTTTCTCGTAATAATATTCGTTTTGTGTTTTATATTAAATATTCATAACTTATGGCGGTGTTTAATAAGTAGCGGGAAATATTTAAAAAATGGAATTTATTTATTTATGTCTTGTGAACCACAAAATTAGTAATGCGGCAGATAATATTGTGGTTTATTAAAATATTTATTAATTCAAAAATACTATTTTTAGCCTACCAAACAAAACATAACATCTGACTCACTTTGAATACATACAGCAATAACTTATGATTTCAGTCAACAGTTATAAGTAGTGTCAATGAAATAGGCAGATTTCAAAGAAACGCCCCGACAAGATAATTGCACACCACCCAAAAAATTTTGGAACATTCACCAACCCAGAAACAGTGAAAAAGGGAAGTTTTCAAAAATGGGTCAGAAGTTTTTTCCATAAGAAGGTGTTATATTAAATTACACAGTATTTCAGTAAATGCCACTTTTGAAGTTTATTGAGTTTAAAACAAAATGAAGAAAATGTTCCATAGTTGTTGGTCCCCCTTCATGCCATAAATAAAGCTATGAAAAGTAACAAGTGAAAAAGGCGTTAAGTTCGCCCGGGCCGAACTTTGGATACCCTTCACCATAGGTATAGTAACAGATACTTGAAATGATAATATAGGGAACATACCAAAAAGTAAACAATTCTACAAACCGGTTTATGTAAACCATTGTGTACACCAAATCCAAATTTCAGCAATTTTTAATGAAAACACAAAAACGTGGACTGATACTAAGGACGCATGGTGAATATACAATCCTCAAACTACTGCAGTTTAGATTGCATAGTGTAGGAATTAGCGAATATTTAGGGTAATAATTATATGAGGGCTACGCCTAATTAGTGACCGACATATGTCAATTTTGAACCCAATATTTTCGTATTGTGTCTCATATGGGGGAGATGCCTAAATGCTGGCCGATATATTTCATTATCGACAGGTTCGAGTTTTTTTATCACAATTTATAATTTGTAGTTGAATCATTTGGTACCCAAAAAGAACCGAATGTACCAAATTGCAGCGAATTCGGTTGAAAGCCGCGCACAAGACCCCAAAATACCGAAAATTGAGGGTGCACTTATATGGGGGTTACTCGAAAAAATTGTACCAAATTTTAGCGAATTCGATTTAAAAACGCGCTTAGAATCCCCAAAATACCTTTAATTGTTGTGTACCGTTATATGGGGCTACCAAATAAAATTGACCGATATTTATAATTTTTAGTGGAGACATTTGGTACTCACAAAGAACTCAATGTACTAAACTTCAGAGAATTTAAATGAAAAGCGTGCTCAAGAACCCAAAAATATCGAAAATTGGGCGGTACCCTTATATGGAGGCTATGCCTTAACGTGGACCCTTATAGCCCATCTTCGAACTTGACCTGCCTGCAGACAAAATACGAC